CATGTTTAAATGATCATTCTGGAGCATAATCGCCATCTACTTCAATAACTGCTTCCCATTTGCTTGGCAAACGATCGATTCCACGTGCAAAAAAGTGACGATCCTTGGATGCAATCCACGCTTTGACGTCAGCGACAAGATCGTTCAAATCATCGTAGACTTTGCCCGTCTGTCAATTTTTGAGCGAACGATTGACGTGATAGTCTGTAGGAGCTTCAGTAGGAGAATATGGTGGGTGCTCAAGCAGTTCCCATCCTTTGTCGTTGATTGATTGGATTACTCGATGTTCGACATGTGGTCTGGCGTTGTCATGGTGAAACACGATGTGGTTCTTCTTGCGAGGACGTTTGGAAATTCGCTCACCGTTCGAAAATTCGTAGGTTCATTGTTCTTTAGTAGAGTGAGAAGCACAAAGTAAACCAGTTTACTTTGAAGCAAATAATAGTGGTGGTTCCCCATGTTTTTATTTGATCAACAGAATAACCAGATTTTTGCTTAAAGGTTTAAAACAAAATACGTATTACAGACTTACCGTTTTACATTTGAATAAAATTTTCTAGTTACACATTTATTAATAACCACACCCATTAGGAAACTTGGAAATCTCTGCCTTCGAACTCATCTTCGAAGAAGGCGTCTTTCTCTGTGTCGCTTTTGTCTTCTGTTGATGCATAGACAGGTATTACGGTTGTTGCTGGGTTACCTCTCGATATATGTTTGTAATTTATTTTTCGTGTCTTTTTAGACAAGTACAGAATTATTACCGGCGGCATCGTCATCTTCTAAAGAGCAAGGTGCACATCAACTAGAATTCACAGGATGGATACTCTGGGGTAAAATTTATAACGTTGCTGCAACCCAAAATTGATATACCACGTACCCATAGCTATATGTGCACTCTAGCTACCCGTACCTACTAAGGCCCTAATGTTGCAGCAACACTGTTAAGTGGAGTTCGAGCTACATGAACATTTGGGATTGAGGGAGGGCCTGTTGCAGGATGAGAGTGGTAACCAAAGAACATTTCATTTCGTGTAATAAAGAACATTATACACCTTATCCTCCTTGTAATTGTTGTTCAGTTTGGCGTTTTGTAGATCTAGACATGGTAGGTAGTAGTAGGTATGGATAGGTATGAGTGGGTGCCTACCGATACTTAAGAATTTTAATAGTGGTAGGTATAGATCTGTATGAGTAGGTACCTACCCATATCTACAAATTTTGAGGTTGAAGCAACCTGAAATTATCCATGAGATCCTAGAATTAAAAGGATTCAATGTTAATATCTTACACAACATAGCATCAATAATCGTGAAAAAGCTATTTTATTCCGAATAATGAACGGGATTATAATGCGGTATTCAATCAGTCGACATTACCTCGAAGAAGGACATAAATGAAACATTAAAACAAAACTTATGTGCACCAATAAGCCATATTCATATTCTGATGGGGGCGCTGTATGTTGAATGTCAAACGGCTTGAAAGCCGTATGAGTGCGTGTATTGTATAGACAGAAGACAAGAAAATAACCGAGATGTGGCGACCTCATCAGGGTGTAAATATGGCTCATTGATGTACGAATACATTCAACGTTTCCAATTCCAGATACATCTGATCTGTATATTAAAGGAAACGGAGAATATAATATAACATTCTATAATTCTTTCTGTTTTTAGAGCTTTAACATCGAAAAGTAGTGGTGTATTAATTGATCAAAACCACATATTAACCTGTTCATATTTATTTGATCCAATTTTTTATGAAAGCCAACAATGTCTGTGTGAACGTGGTAAAATTTTGCCTGTGCATTAATGCCGACCACAACATGTTTTTTTACAGTGGCCATGTTTATGAGGGACATTTAATACAAATAAGATTAGATAGCCTCTCACTCTTACAAGATGCTGAAGATAATGCTGATTTAATATTATTGGAAATAGTTTCAAATGACAATTGTTCAAGGGATTGGCTATCGAAAATGATGTTTATACCATTATCAATGTCATCAAATTTCGCGAAAACTGATAGGCGAATGAATTGATGATAAATCTTATTTAAAATCGGGTACTAGTCAGCAGGAAACACAGGAAAGTGGCAAACCCAGTGTTGATCAACGAATTTAGCCAATGCAAGGAGGGGTGGCAAAATATCCAGTTTTTGTATAAAGTCGATAATTCTACTAAATATATAAATCTCTCTCTTTTCTTTTCCAGTTTTTTTCTACTTTCTTTTCCTCTTTCTAAATTTCTCCCTCCTTCTCTGGTATTCTCTCACTTTTGAAGACCTTCTCCTGAGCTTTCAATTTCCTACCGAAGTTGCTTAGGAGGATGTAAACATCGAAAGACTGAAGATGCAGAGATTGAAAGCTGGAAGATCGAAGACGTAGAGATGTAAACATCGAAGATTGAAAGATCGAAGATGTAAACATTGAAAGATGTTCTTTGTTAAAACATGTTGAACATTAGCATGAGACGACACTGTTGTAATTTGTAGGATCATATCCGTGCTCGAACCTCGTCCAACGTTCACCTTTCGTCCAACCATCCGACACGAACGCCTTAGAACATTCCTCACCACACGAATGAAATCGTTTATGATGCGCCCAAAAATTCGTAAACGCTACGTTCAATTCAACATACCGCCACATCATACGTGCCAACATATCAACAGACATCGATATTTCAAATTCATAACATTTCAAATAAAAAAATATCATTAAACAATATTGATATAAGAAATAGTGATCGTGCAATGTCCTTCTTCTTAAAGTTGCAACGGAACGAATCCCATCATTCGAACAGAAAATACTACTGTACGCTAGCTTCCACATCCATGATACGTACTCGGACCAGAAAAAGTCTGATAACCTTCGTGGTTCACTAGTTGCTCGCTTGGCGACACACTATTGCCGTCATCACCGTTACGAGTCACGCAGTGCTCGCCGTGGGAATTCCAGAACACTGCGAAAACACCACCAATCATGAAAAAGTATGTTATAATAAGAAGAATATCGCGCACCATCCCTGTACTCTTGAATAGACTTTGGGTCTTGATCGCTATCGCACTCAACCGGTATACCAACTCTACCAAAGGGAAAGCTATTAGTATTATAGAGCAGCAAATGTAAGGTAAAACAACTTTCCATTTACTACAATAGTTCAAAGGGCGACAGGACATCTGAAGAGAAACAGAACGAAGGCACACCATTATCTACCAGGATTTCAAATTTCGCAGTCATAAAAGAAACTTGGAAGTCATTGGATGGGAGATACGACCGATCGCCAGAGAACTTGCGTAAAGAAGTTCTTAGATCCTATACGAACCTAGCGCATCTTATAGCTCATCTAGTTTTAGCCAACCAGTCGAATTTTCAGACCTCTCAGTGCTTGTCAAACAGCGCCACGAGTATTCCACCACGAGCCTTGTTGATTAACAATCAACGGTCCTTTTTTTAGTGAAGCTCTAATTTCTTCGTGATGTTTTATTCTAGACAGTTGAAAACTTTAAGAAGTATGCAGCTTGGCATGCTATACCTGACTGCATACTCAAAACTCCGAAAAATAGTTTTTCAGGTTCGAGGTGTGCTCCAGTAGGCTCATTTTTTATTTTGAAGGTTCTAGACCTCGGCCCTATAGGAATACCTCAAATTTCAACCTCACCTTGATTCAGGGCGTTGTTCAGAATTTTCTTGTTGTTGTAAACAATCACATATAATTTTAAATGTGTTGGAACAGTGTGAATATATGTTACTTGTTTTTCTTCAATTGTTTTTGTCAAATAATTTAAGACTAAATTTCCTTGTGGTTTTAACATAACTAAACATGAACCAAATGTTAAAGTACCAAGTATTTCTTGTACATGTATATCGGATCAGCACGGTGTAATTTGTAATATGACATCATTATTGCTAATCATTTGTTCTTTAATTAATGAATTTATGCAGAAAACAAAATTACGATGACAAATTTGTCCCTAAAACAAGAAAGACATTATAAGAAAAATTAATAAGTAAATATTATTTAATGTTTACTCTTTTTGGCTGACCAGCAGAACCAGAAGCAAATATAAGTGAGCAATATATTCGAGGTTTGTTTCAACACATGTCAAAACATTTAATTGTAGATTATTTAACTGGAATTGTTGATTGTAATCAAACAAAATTTGTTGAACATCAATTAAATTTACGTTCAGAAAAATTTTATCTTGTGTTCCATGATGTATAAAACATAAGATGTGTTTACGTCTTTAACTTTAAAGATTTAAGTCTTTCTTGCGGATCTTGTGGATTTAAAGGATAATAAACGGCACCTACTGTTAATACTGATAATATACCAATTACTATTTCAATTGAACGATCAACACAATGGCATATAATTTGTTTTGGTTTAACTTGATAATTTTGAATGAGAGATAAAGATACCAGGTGTACATAATATAATAATTCTGAATATGTCAATGATTGTTCATCTAATATAATTGCTAATTTTTGTGGATATTGTTCTGCTTATTCAATAAATTGATGATGAATACATTTCATTTGTTATTGTTGTTGTGGACCATTATTAACTCTTTGTAATGCTAGTGTATTTAAGAGCTGTTGTTCATGTGGTAATAAAAGTGATAATTCATAAACTGGTTGTGTTCCTTTGTCGAATGAGTTACTAGAAAATAGTTGTTTCAATAAATATTCAAATCTTTTTGATATTATTTCAATTGTTGAATATCTAAACAAATCCTTAGAATATTCAAACAAACACAGTATTTTTTGTTTCTTTTTTTTTGATTGTTCATAATGAATGGTTAATGTTAAATCAAATTGTATTATTTCCTCATTTAAATCATATCTGTCCTATTTTTTCATAATCGTTGCTTCAGTACCGAAATTTATTTTAATACCTTTTGGATGAAGCTCAAGTGTTGATTATATAAATGGAAGAAATGGTGAATGCTGTTGTTGTTCTGGATTTCGACAAGAAGTAATTATTTCTTGGTAAGGTAAATAAGAATAACTTTTAATTTCTAAATATGCTTTTTGTACTTGTTTCATAATCGAATTAAATGTTTCAGTTGGTTTTAATTCATGAAAATTTGGAATTGTATTAACAAACATACCAGCTAAATTTTCCAATACAGATTCATAACGGTTAGCATTAACACCACCTACACACAAATCTGTTCCTTGTGTTAATTTATATAAAAAAACACAATAACTAGTTAAAAATAATTGAAATTTTGTTACTTTCATTTCAGTTAAATAATCAGATATTTTTTGTACTAAATCTTGCTCTACTTCAAGCTTTACATAAGAACCCAAACCTAATCGTTGTTTTTATGGTACATAATCATATGGTAATAATAATTGTCGATTTAAATCATATCTATCTAATAATTGTTTCCAAAATGAACGTGCATCTTTTGCAAAACTGTTATTTGTTTTACTATTAAATAATTGTTGTTCATATATAGTATAATCAATGTACTGCAGTTCAATTTGTGGTAAATTTTGGTTTTCATAATTTGGTTTTAGATCAAGTAAAAGTTGAGGTAAAGAATAAGCATCACAAGCAATATGGTGACAATTTAACATAATATATAATCACCTTCGTATAGTGTATCATCATCATCTTTTTCTGATTAAATTTGATTAAATGACATCTTAAAACTATACCATTTTCTAAATTAAAATAATTTATTTTCCATTCATTTGACAGCAATTTTTTTACTGATAATTCACTGTCTTGTGATGTAATTTTAGTAATTTGAAACTGATGATAAAAATCATGTTCGATACAATCTGTTATTGTCATTTGTTTAATTGATTGTTCCAACTGTCTTGTTTGTTCATTAAATTTAATTGCGGTTCGTAATATTGAATGTTTAGAAATTCCATTGAGTATTGCTTGACAGAAACGTTGAATAGATAAACCAACGAATTGGCTCGGCCGAATACTAATCTACAAAAACTCATCCACATGCAGTAATTGTTGTATCAGCGTCATCTGATGACAGTGTATACGCTTTGAATCCATACAGATCGCCATTATTTATCGCAGATTTCGTAATCTTTGATGTCATTCGAAGAAGAGCAGTACCTACCGCACCTTCGACGACTGAAAATTTTGAAGAAAACGCACCGATTATACGTGTTGTTAACTCTGCTGCTGTTGAAATCCAACATTGACCATTGTTCGGATCACTGGTGTAAGTAAGGTAATCACGCGTGATCCACGTAATAAGCCACCAATCTGTGCCGTTACACGCAAATCCGATATTGTATCGGACCTCGAAACGAGTTTCACTGATTCTGTTATTTTCAATAGACTCCCAAATTTTTAAGATATACCTAGCAAAACTTGACTGAAGATGGAAGGATGTATTAGAAACTCACTGGGAACGTGTGATACATCATGATGATTTAAATCAACATGCTAAAGGCGCTTCTAGAGTTGTCAAAACGTGCTATTTACGTGAAAATCTTCCATTTGCTACCGTGTTTGTGCCCAGGACACAGTGTGCATTTTTCCGTAGATCAGGCGGATATTTGCTATAGCAGCAGTCCGAAAGACTACAAGAAAGACTAAAAATCTTTTTATAGGTTTTCAGATATGCTCTTTCCAATGGTGTGTTTTTCAAAGTTCAAAGAGACTTTCATCTGGGTTCTACAGAGACCGTGTCTGTAGAAAACCCTTACATAAGTATTCTGGAACTTTTTAAAGCGCACCATTGGAAAGAGCATATCTGTAAACATATAAAAAATTGTTTATAGACTTTTGGACTACTTCTATAGCAAATACCAAAACTATGACTCTATGCTTCGACTTTAGCGTTTTGTTAGATCCAACTAGTTTTTGCTCAGAAGAACCTACAAATGACATATCATTCGATGCAATTTCTTGCGCTGATTCCGAATACGTTATTTGTACTGGATGAAAACGTTTCTGAACCGAGAAAAATGGAAAATACCTGAAAAACTCAGGTTTTTTGGAAAACCCGCTGTATGCTTCAGAAACAGTTGCGCATTTTTGCGCATTCACCATAGATGCAGGACATATAGGAGAAAATTCCGCGAAAGTTTGCTTAAATTTGGACCTTCACTAACTTTCGCGCGCTCACTTTACTAAGCTTAGACCTTCGGTAAATCGCTTGAGAAAAACTTCTTCTAATTTTCTCAACTATCATAAGTCCAATTTAAAATTTGTTTTACTAATCTATAGCTGATGCCATGCAAATTTAGAATATATGTCGTTTTTGATTACAACTTCATTGACTGTTGTGAAAATTTCATTTTTCGCACCGATACTAGTATTTCAGGCTAATTTTTGATTGGCTGATTTTCCACGCTACATAAGCTTTATAACAAAACATTTTATGCCATCAGATAGAGCATGTTTTGAAGTATATTTATCGCTATTTGAATCATTGAAAAGTCGATTTTCGTTTTTTCACCTAATGTCCGCCTGGATGCACACTGTGCCGGAAGCTCGAGTGCCTGCTAGGTAGAGCGGAGCTATTCCCGCCTTTTTCAAGTGTTTTTCTCACTAGGGAATCCGGAAAACTCCATATTCCTTCAACGATAAACATGAACCGCTTCATTTGATTTTGAGTCTCTTAGGACACTATGCATCACATCTGACATATCTTAAACTCGTTCCAGAGTGGTTTGGCGCTTCCGAAAGGTCTTGATTCGCATTCTACGTTCAAAAATACCTAGGATAACTTACTCGGAGGACTCCCGTGGCAACAGAAACCGCCGAAAGATAAAGCACGCCGTTCTAAGAGATATTTGCGTGATTTAACCATGAAAAATCGACTTCGAGAGCTACTGGATGCTAGTGCTTTGAGAATGCTTTGGCCATCCTCTGAGGAAGTTATATATTCGATGTTAGCGAGAAAAGAGGATAGCTTGCCGGTAGAATATCCGACCGGTTACCGGAAAATACAGCTTCGACTCCTACTCTGGTTTTACAATCTTTTTAAATAAGCACTTCGAACTTCTTGACACATGTTCAAGTGGCTGCATTCATTCGAAAGTCTATTTATACCTAGCAGGTGTCATGATTGCTTATTCTTTAATTCTATTATTCAAATTCTAACTCACTCTCGCTCTCACTATCACCCCCTCGCCATCAGAGTGTGAGGGTGATGGTGAGAGCGAGAGTGAGTTAGAATTTGAATAATAGAATTAAAGAATAAGGAATCATGACACCTTCATGTCTTCTCTTAAAAAAGTCGATGCGTCTTCACAAGAACTTCATGTTTTTCCTGACGACGGCGATGTTTCTTCAGAACAACTTCGCGGTTTTCCTGAAAAATCGATACTTCTGCACAAGAAGTATATTCTTTTTCCTGAAGAAGCCGATGTTTCTTCGCAATAACCTCACATCTTCTACTACAGAAGTCGAAGGTTGTTCAAAAGAATTTCACGGTTTTTGCCGAAAGAATCGATGTTTTTTCACAAGAACCTCATGTCTCTTCCAGAAGAAGTCGATGTTTCTTCACAATAACATCTTCCACTACAGAAGTTGATGGCTGTTCAGAAGAATTTCATGTCCCTTCCCGAAGAAGGCAATGGTTTTTCACACGGCTTCATGATTTCTAGTGCAGAAACCAGTGGTTTCCCAAAAGAATTTCATGGTTTTCCCACAAAAAAAACGATCTTTCGTCACAAGAAATGCATGGTTTTTCCAGAAGAAGTCGCTGTTCCTTCTCAAGAATTTCTTGGTTTTTTTCTTGAAGAAATCGATATTTCTGCACAAGAAGTTTATTCTTTTTCCTGAAGAAATCGATGTTTTTCCACATCGACCCATTGATAAGAACTTACCACTATTCCTGAATGAACCGATGTTTTTCCACAACAAATCCATCTCTTTTGATGAAAGAACCCGTGTTTCAGGACGAGGGCTTCATGTCTTTTCAATAACAAAACAAGACATTCACGTCCCTTCCTCAAGACACAGATGCCTTTCCACAAGAACTTCGTATCTCATACTGAAGAAACCGATGGGGTTCGACCAGAACTTCATGCCTGTTCTTCTTCAGGAGGAGACATGAAGTTCTTGTGCAGAAAAATCGTTTTGTTCAGGAAAAGACATGAAGTTCTGATGGAGAAACGTCGGTATCTTAAGAACAGGAACCATCGATTTGTGAGAAATATCAAGTTTTTACGCAAAAAACATGAAGTTCTGGTGTCCGTTGATTTCTTCAGGAAAACCATGAAGTTCTTGCGGAGATACATCCACCTTTTCGGAAAGAAGATAAAGTTTTTGTGAAAAAACATGAAACATGAACTTCGAATGAAAATGAGTTTTTCAGGAAAAAGCATGGAATTCTCTTGAACAAACATCGACTTCTGTACTAGAAGATGTGACCATGTAACCATGAAGTTCTTGTGAAGTAATATAGAGTTCTTCAGGAAAACACATGCAGTTCTTGTGAAGAAAGATCGTTTTTCCAGTAAAAACCATGAAGCTCTTGTCAAGAAGCATCGACTTCTTCAGGAAAACCAAGAACTTCTAGTGAAGTAACATGGAAGTTTTACGCAAACAACATGAGGTTTTTGTGAATAGACATCGACTTATTCAGGAAATAACATGAAGTGGAAGATGTTAGGTTATTGTGGAGAAACATCGACTTCTTCAGGAAAAAACATGCAATGAAGAAAGATGGTTTTTTTCAGACAAAAGCAGAAAATTCTTGTGAAAAAACATCGATTTCTTCTGCAAAAAAACCAAGAAATTGTTGAGAAAGAACATCGAGTTCTTCTGGAAAAACCATGTATTTCTTGTGACGAAAGATCGTTTTTTCAGGGAAAAGCATGAAATTCTTGTGAAGAACCAGTGGTTTCTTCACTAGGAACCATGAAGTTCGTGTGAAAAACCATTGACTTCTTCAGGAAAACGCATGAAATCCTTCTGCACAGCCATCAACTTGTGTAGTGGAAGATGTGAGGTTAATGTGAAGAAACATCGACTTCTTCAGGAAAAAACATGCAGTGTAGAAAGATGGTTTTTTTCAGGCAAAAGCAGAAAATGCTTGTGAAAAAACATAGATTCTTTCGGTAAAAACGGTGAAATTCTTTTGAACAACCAGCGGCTTCTGTAGTAGAAGATGTGAGGTTATGGTGAAGAAACATAACCTAAAGGGAGTTCAAAGTTGAATATAGTCGAAAATAGGTTCCACTAAAACGACTGTCCTGCGAACACCTATATGCAAATCGAAAAACTTTTTGTATCTTGAATAAGAATTTTTGTATCCTGAAGAAATCGATCTATCTCCACAATAGTCTCATGTCTTTTACTCAAGAAATCCGTATATCTTCGCAGGAATTTCATGGTTTTGATTGAAGAAACTGATATTTATACACAAGGAGTACATTATTTTTCCTAAAGCAGTCGACGTTTCTTCACAATACGATGTCTTCCTTAGAAGGTCGACTTTTCTTAACAAGAGCTTCGTTTTTCTCGTGATGAAACATCCGTTTCTTCACATGAACTTCATCGTTTTGCTGAGAAATCGATGTTTCTTGAAAAGAATTTCATATCTTTTGCTGAAAAAGCGTTGTTTCTCCACAAGAACCTCTTGTCTTTTCCTCAAGATATTGTTGTTTCACCATAGCAACCTCACGTTCTCTCTTGAAGAAGTTGTGGTATCTCCACAAGAACTTCATGTGTTTTTCTGCAAAAGTCTACGTGTAGGTATCGAACTACGTACAAAACGTGTCGAACAACATAACCACTCAGCCACAGCGGCTGGAGCGATGCTTCTTATTGAGACGGCTCGGATAAACTGGGAGAATTATGTCTCTCTACTCTCTCACTAACTGGAACTGCTATGTGCTTACAAGAGTGTAGTTAATCAAAACAGTCGTTCCCTTGTTTTTATAATACTTCAACGAAAGATTTTCTCGCTAAAAACAATACAAATGTTCAGCAAGTTCAAGAAAAAGAAAATAGTGTATTTGCCAAGAGTTGGCACGATCTAGACAATATGAAAAAATAAAATTGCTGTGTAACCATTTTGAGCTGGTGTGAAATAGTTCACTTTTATTACATCATGTTCCTGAGAGAAAACCAGGTGAAACATGATGAAATCGGTGTTTCAGACAAAACTCTTCAGAGACAGCTTTCTTCAACCTAAAAGTTGTGCTTTTTAGTATTATGGATTCGAGAAATTACCGGATTACTGAAAGTGTTTTTGTCCTACAGGGAGTTCAAAGTTGAATATAGTCGAAAATAGGTTCCACTAAAACGACTGTCCTGCGAACACCTATATGCAAATCGAAAAACTTTTTGTATCTTGAATAAAAACTGAAGTACTTTGTCCTTGAAGAGTTAGCGAAGAAGTTAGCTGTCATAAACAAGAGTGGAGAAATTTCACAAATTTATCTGAGCAAATCAGTTTAGAGCGATGAAATTGTAGAGCTGGAACCAGTTTCTTAAAATGCCGAAGTCGATCCCGGCAATGAAAACTCGTTTTTATTCATTTACTTAGGCGTTCATTCTCATACAAAAATCGATTATGTTTAATTTAAAATATAATATGAAACGAATGCATAGAATTCAACTTAATCATTCATGTTTACCATTAATATCTGTATTCAAATAATTCTCATTGTTGGTTTTTAGTTAGTAATGAAGAAGATGAAACAAAAATATATTTTCTCGATGAGAAAAATAATTAAGAGTTACTTAAAACTTAGTGTAAATAATAAAAATATTTATCCGTATGCCATGCAATTATTTCGGCATCGACATATTCTTATATTAACACAATATAGCTAGTCGTATTTCAGCAGTTCAAAAAGCAGCAAAGAATACTGTACGTGAATGTGCGGATAAGCTATTTTAAGACTTACGCGACGTTTTATCTCTTAGCTATAGAGTCCGAAAGTAGGTCGACTGAAAATGGAGGACTTCAAATTTTTTCAGAAAAAGGATAATAGATGCGCCATCGTATAAACGCCCGTTTTACTATACTGTTGAATTGCTTTATAGGCTATTCATTACAGTGACAGTCAGTTCATTATCAATGTAATAGATGAATGAAACCGGATTAAAATCCTGAGCAATTCTGTAAACAGTTTGGTTTGCAGGGAAGTATATATGATCATTGCTTATCGCACATTCACTTCCGCCACATTTTCCAAAACACTAAGTCATGTGATTTGCTTCGCACCGCATTCGTAAGTCTCGCGTAGCGTAACTGCCATCTAGTTTCATATTATATTTTGGTGAAGCATCTAGGCTGTTAAATACTAGACGGTTGGTTACCCTCTAAAATTCAGAATACATATATCGACTGTATGACATATAACGACTGAATTTGAACAGTGTTATTCAGCCAATCATGATTGGCTGAATAACACTGTGAATCTACCAACATCAAAATATTTTAGATTTCGAAGATGGCACTGTCCCAAATAACCACGTGTTTGACTAATAAATTTTTTCAATTTGACTTTTGATAATACCGATGTTTGTGTGTCCCACAGATCCATAGCTTTATCATAGCTTTCATTCGACCGTCTGGTGTCAAGTAATGATTGACCGGGAAACAACGGAAATACGCGAATAAACGTCTTGCCAGTATACACGGTTACTCCTAGATGTACAACGTATCTGTCGCATGAACTCTGACAGGTAACGGTTATTACGGAAGGAAACGTATTGGGAAGGAAACTTTCTATGCATGATTACAAAGTACTATAATGTTAGCCATAGTGGACACGCGTAAGATATCTCAACTGTTTTTCTTTTTCTCAAATCAAGCATTGTCTGTGCTTACCTTCCATTTCACATCTCGAGCATCCGTATCCGGCATTCGGTTCGGGTGTATTCTGTACCAAAGAGATGGCTGGTTTATCACAAGCTGCTGCTAACAAATAGACTGGAATAAATGTCAATTGATCGCCCAATTGTTTGACGGTAAATACCATCCCGAGTTCTAATTTTTTCAGTTGTTGTTGAATTAGTCGGATCATTTCACCCATATGTTCACGTTTCGGTTTTTTCTTGTTCGCCCAAACACCACCGAAAACGGCATTATTCATTTTGAATCGATATTTTTTCTTTATTTCATTAATGATGAACATTATTACCCATATTCCCGTTTCATTT